TCAAAATCGAGATTATTCTTTTGGCATTCTTGGGATCTTCAATCTCATTGTGGGTTGCTTAGTGTTCGTTACTACGTGGTTCTCATCAGATTCTTTTCTTTTTCCAATTAGTAAAACATCAATGTGTTTTACATTTGAAAGAATCTGTACATTATTTGGATCAAAAGGAACATATCTCCTAGAATCAACTAATTGAGAGATCGAGGCAAGAAATTATTCTCTAAACCTAGAACATAATTAACATTCTTGAGAGAAATTCCACCAACATTTGAAATATCAGTGATGACATTGAGATGTCCTTCTTTAACTATAGGATGTCACAATGACTCTTTTCCCATAATGCGGATGAACATCAGAAAGTAACAAAGCATTTCTAGTTGCATGATGAGAGCAACCAAATTAATGATCCAATCCTTGTTGTAGTCTATGGAAACATTAGCGTTAACATCTACGTTGATCTGGTGTACTACAGAAGTCATGTTAGCCGATTGATCAATAGTTTCAATGGATAAGCATTGCTCCCATTTAGATTGTTCAAATTCACTAGCTTCATGTGCCACATTTACTCTTGCATTTGTGAGATCAACATGGCAATTTTGTTTAATATGACCTGATTTTCCACACCACATTCACCCAACAATAACCTTTTATGTATTCCAACTTTCCACACTTGTAACAAGCTTTTGAATTTTATTTACACTGGCCCCTAGTTTTGGACTGCTTAGAGGGAAAAAAAAAAAACTTATTTTTCCTTTGGTCCTTAGTGTAAAGAACATCCTCAACTTGAGAGAGAGAGAGAGGCTTGTTGCTGCTGCTGGACATTTGTATCACCATTGCTTCCTGGTTTGAGAGCAGATTCTCCAACTCAATAATAGTATGTTGATTTTCCCACCCTTGTATCGAATAGATAAAGGGCATAAACTCTTTCCGCAATCCACAAATAAGATAACGACACAAATGAGCATCACTCACACGTTCCTCCATATATAATTCTGAAATTTCAACACACAAAGTTTTAAGTTTAAGAAAATATTCAAAAACTGAAAGGTAACCTTGAATCATCCCAACGAGTTCATTCTCCAAATACAGTAGTCTCATCGTGTTCTTTTGAGTTAACAACCTTTCAAGTGTCTTTTACACTTGCTTTGGGGACTTCTCTTTACGAGATGCTCAATGTACCTTTTGCTGGTCAATGTTCGCAAAGCAAATATAGCTTTGCCACACTTTATCTTCCATTTCCTCCTCAACTCAGCATTATGTGGGTATCATCTGAAATTACATCATCACCAGATATAAGTTTCCACAAATTCTGCCCTTGTGCATATGCTTCCATGCATAGCTTCCAATAACTATAATTGTTACCAACAAGCTTGTCTACATATGAATCGGTTCCACCATTCATCTTCTTTGAGTTATAAAATCGAACACTTAATAGGCAACTAAGCTCTGATACCACATAACAACTACGACACAGTTTATAAAAAAAATAAAAGAAGCAGGAAAAGAACAGAAAAATATAGAGGAGATGGAAAGAGCGAAGATGATCTAGTTAAAACTGTATTTTTATTACTTGATGAAGAATTGAATTAACATATCAATTATAAGATTATAAATAGAGAAAATTTCCAGAAATGTGTCAACCATCAAAGTCTACTACGTAAATATATGAAAGACTTGTAACATATTAGACTTACTCAAAAGACTAAAAACATTAGTAAGTTTGACCGGTTAAATTCATTGATGCTCATTCAATTTTATAGTTAGTGTCACCATAGTCACCCAATTTAATTTTATTTCACCATTGCCACCCAATTTCATATAACGTTTCACCATGACCACCTAATTTCACATAACATTTGACCATGTCTACTTAATTTCATATAACATTTCACCAAGATCAATCAATTTCTTTTTACTAATTTCACTAATTTTAAAAGGGATAAAATAGTAA